AGAGAAATTTTCACTAAAAGACTACGGTTTTTTTTAAAATTATGTATTCAAACATACAGTGTGTCCCCGGATGGAAGAGGAAAAAAAATTTTAATTTTAACTTTACGCAAAAAGTCATTCTTTATAAAAATTTTTGCTTGCCTCAAAATCACCTATTCTGAAATAAAAATCTTTCCTTTTAGCAGCCGAGAAAATTACAAAAAACGCAAAATCTACAGCGGAAATTTTTCTAAGTTGCATGTTTTTGATTAAATCAGACTATCATTGTATCTATACGCTTACGTTTGCTACTTTGTTATACAATTTGATTCATACCTTTGTTCCAGATTATCTTTTTAAATTGTTAGTAAAACGAGCTGATATGCATAATGTTGCTCTTCGAAATATCAATACCCAGTACACTATACCTAAACATAGTACAGCAAAATACAAAAGTTCCTTTGAATACACAGCCCCTTGCATGTTAAATAAATATCATGTACTATTTCAACTGTCATCTGTTCATCAATTTAAGGAAAAATTTAGAAATCAGTTGTTAAATTCCCAGAAATTAGCAAATTAAATGTGTAGCCAAGTACCCGCTTTGTAGTTACCAATTAAGAATTATTACGTAAAATAATAACACTACCTATTTATAATAAGCAAAAATACTAATCCTCGTCAATTTTGTAAATTTATTTCGATCAATCAATTTGTTATTTATAATTTTAATTTAGATTGTTTGGCATATAGAATATAATAATTCTTGCTTCCATGTTGATTTTCGTTGTTTATATACATATATTTTATTGTTTCTATATTTCATTTAGTTTTGAATGTTTATAAGGCCATTAATGTTGTTATATAGATATATTTTATTGTTACTATATTTAATTTTTTTGCATGTTTATAAATGTTTATAAGATGTTATAGTTGAAAGTATGTCCAGGAAATATGGCAGGATTGAAATCCGGCTTTGTTATTATTATTATTATTATTATTATTTAACCAAAAACATGCAAATTTCCGCTGTAGATTTTGCGTTTTTTGTAATTTTCTCAGCTGCTAAAAGGAATATCTAGATTTTTATTTCAGAATAGCTGGTTTTGAGGCAAGCAAACATTTTTATAAAAAATGACATTTTTGCGTAAAGTTAAAATTAAAATTTTTTTCCCTTTTGTTCAGTCCATTCGGGGACACACTGTATATAAAAAACAGGATGTTCTACTTAAAAAAAGGGGTTATTTCTAGACAAACCGGAAGTGAAAAAATTGTCATGGTTGCAAGTATAGGTAATGGTTACACCTAATTTAAGCAAGGAATACAATCACGCGAGTTAAGGGCGACTGTAATCTTCTCCGCATTTTTCCACATTTTTCTGAGAAATATGAGCAAGTACATTTCAGTAACTTAGTAGGGTTTTGAAATAAACAGAAACAGAAATACCCCACCAAAGCAACAAAATATTTGAAAGACTAACGAGGTTACAAATTAAAGTCATTCCTTTTTTACCAAAACATATCAGCGTTGTTTATGGATATATTTCGCTAACAAACTACCTACCAAATGCAGGAGATACCTCAATGGCCACGTCAAGAATTTGTGTATTTTTAAATTACTTTTCCAAAATATACCTACTGATTTGAAGCAAGGGAACTGTGTTGACAACGTTCACGTGTTTGATCTTGATCATTTTTTAAGGTATGAACAAAGTATAAATTCGAATAATCATTAGCGCACAGCCTGTAAATACAGATGGCATTACAAAACTCAATAGAGTGTAAGTAGTATGTGATTTATTTGATACGTACTATTAAAACTCGATTTAGAACTGTAAGTCAATATTTTATGTTGTTCTTCTTCTTTTACATGTAAGTATCCAACTGACACAGTTTTTACACCAATAGTTGAATGCAAGTATGTATAATGTTATTCTGCTAGGTTTCTGTAATACTGTAGTTAAGGTACCTTCTAAATATGGGTAATTTTAATTGGATTACGTCATGTATAGAATAACGGTATAGATTGGGGGGCTTGTGACTAACAAAAATCACCCTACCTCATTCGATGGTATTAAAAATATTTCCTATTATGTCACCCTAATCTTATAGCCATATAATTAACCAAATAACGAGAGTGTGGGATGAAGATCGAAAAACCCTTACTTGTCGTGGGGAAACAACAAAATACTAAGTACTATCGGGAATTATATAATGTATAAATCTCAATAGGGTTGCATTATTTATACAATTCACGAGACTTTGGTAATTTTTTTTAATGATCATATGTCTTGCCTTTAAGAGATTACTATTTAATTAATTATTCAGTATAGAGGTCTTCAAGCTAAAATCATCTCATTTTGTTCCGACGCCTTTATGACAGATTACTTCCCCGTGCATGTTACTTGCCAAGTTATGTTATTTCCAGAATAACCAAACTGCAATTGTTTAAATTTCTGTTAAATACCATTTTTGGAACAAAATGTTTTTAATGTATGTCTTTTCGGCTTGAAGTTTTAAGTTTCAACACGGTTTCCGAGGATGAAATCTTTAGGATAATCCGGTCAATTAAATCAAAGGCAATTGGTATTGATGGGATTGGGATTAATCTGATTAACTGGTGTATTCCGTATCTGCTTCCAATAATTACGCATATAATAAATTTTTGTATTACGCATTCCACTTTTCCAAAATGTTGGAAGCAGGCACGAATAATTCCGTTGCCTAAAATTTCAAACCCCACTTTACTTAAACACCTGCGCCCGATTAGTATATTGCCTACCTTATCTAAAGTTATGGAGAGAGTAATTGCCCTGCAACTTTCGTCGCATTTGTGTTTCAATAAAATTATTCCCAACGTACAGTCAGGCTTTAAAGTTGGCCACAGTTGCAATACAGCCTTGCTAAACATAGTGGACGACATAATGATTGCTTCAGATAAGGGACACTTGACTACTCTGGTGTTGTTAGATTTTACGAAAGCTTTCGACACAATTAACCACAAACTGCTCATTTCCATCTTACATTACTCGGGACTATCACATACAGCCAGGAAGTTTATGATTAGTTATTTGGAGGATAGAGTCCAAGCGGTGTCGACTGCAGGTATTATGTCTAAATTTCTTCACACTAGTTGCGGTGTACCGCAAGGCTCCGTATTGGGTCCAATCTTGTTCAACATCTATATTTCTACGTTTCCCCTTGCACTAAAGCATTGTACTTCTCATTTCTATGCGGATGATGCGCAGTTATACTACTCTTTTGACCCATCGGAAGTACAGTTAGCATGCCATAGAATTAATGAAGATCTAACGCGTATTGCTAATGTTTCGAAGGATCATGGGCTCTTCCTTAATTCGGTCAAAACGCAAGCGATTCTCTTTGGTAGGGATAAACATAGATTAGAAGCGAAGGGTTACGTACAAATAGCCATAGGTGGAAAGGCAATATCCATAGAAGATTGTGTAAACAATTTGGGATTAGTGGTTGATTCAAATCTGCGGTTTAAAAATCATATATCCCGATGTATACAACGTGGTTATGCGAGTTTGAAGATTATTTACCGCACTAGACACTTGCTTACTCGTATGCCGAAAGCTACTCTATGTAACGGCATGGTGCTGTCTGGTCTAAATTATTGTGATACTGTCTATGGCCCCTTCCTTGACTCAGCAGATATAAGAAAGATACAATTGCTGCAAAATTCCTGTCTAAGACTTATATTTGGAGTCAGGAAATTTGAACCAATTAGTTACAAATTAAAGGAATTAAAATGGCTTAATATGAAAAATCGGAGGTTTTTGCATGCTGCCACGGTATTCCATAATATTATAATCAACAGGTCGCCATCTTATCTGTATGAAAAGATTACCTTTAGGACGGATGTCCATAATCTGAATTTAAGGTTTAAGGGGCTATTAACACCGCCAACACATGTTACTCAATTTTTTAAACGTTCCTTTTCTTATTGCATTGCAAATATTTACAATAACTTACCCGAAAACCTTAAAAAACTTTCTTTAATTTCATTCAAGTGTAAGCTACGGAAATTCCTGCTTGAAAATCAGTCACGTGCCTAAACTTCAAATATTATTTTTTTTGTTTGTTACATTTATTTTTTTTTCTAGTTCACATTCATACTTTTTTATTTATTTTAATTTAGTAATTCTAATTAGTTTTCATACCAAATAGAATATGTCTATACTAGGTATCGGAATAATTTCTAGGGTTAAGTGTAAAAACAGGCAGCGGTTTTTTTCTGCTGCACTGAACTTCGCCCTTGCTTGGAAGTCCTTTTGTTATTTTTTCTCTATTTCCTCAAATAAAGCCAATATTATTATTATTATTATTATTAAAGCTGTAACACATAGTTCTTCCACAGTGCCAAAAGGCCTATGTTTATTTTTTACAAAGAAATAAAATTGAACTTTTACAACGATCATGAAAAATGTCAACCGTTTCACTTTTATCACAAAGAGCAAACATAAAATTTTTTAATTAACCTTTTCGTAATAGGGAAACGACAAAGTGCGCTGTAGTACGCAATTAATAAAGCACTTGATGAGTGATTAGTCAGTATGCGTAACGACCGCGCTTCCCTCTTCCAGAATCGATGAGCCTCTTAACAAATCTGTGTAATGAATCCCTCCCTCAGAAACGGCTATAATGCAGTGAAAATCTCGGAACGATATAAGCGAGATTACTTGCTGGTTTGTTAGGGTGCCAGACCCCAGTGAAACTAAACACGAACCCTTAACTACTAACCCTCTTGTCACCAATGACAGCTACACCCAGTCGAATCTTCTCTACACAATATCAATATTTTAGTCTAAAGTCTGTTACGGAATTAGCTAAACTACAGTTCTTAGCCCTACACGAAAATAACTTTAACGAAACCCATTTTTCATTTCGTCCCCAAGCAAAATAGGCATGCGGGTGGGTGTTCTATTGTAAAAAAAAGCTTCTATTGAAGTGAAGCAAAAAACGTATTACGATAAAAACGATATCTTTTTTTTGTTGCAGGGTCCTCCACCTCAAGCCGGCCAAATTAAGTTTACAATTGCGGATACGCTGGAACGGATAAAAGAAGAGTTCAACTTTCTACAGGCACAATATCACACGTAAGTACACCTACCTTTACTTTAATTCTAATACTAAATCTTAATCGATAGAAATCTGCAAGATAATTAAACTTGAAATTACTTTAGAATTAATTGGAATAGATGAACAGTGAATTTACCGCCGCAAGTTAGTCATTTACCCTTTGTGGCTCCATCTCCACACAGCTAGAACAAATATCTGCGTTAATGCGGATCTCAGAATTTCCCGCGTAAAGTTCCCACTTTTCGCTGAAACTTAAACTTTTTTTATTGGTTTATTTTTGGGAACGCGTCCACACGTTGCTAGTGACAGCGGGTGTCATGACAATGGCATTTTGAAGAATGCTATAACCACATAAATAAATATAAACACTATTTCTGACGCATCTGATCTCGGATAAAACGTGTGGTACGTACCACGTCCTATTTTGAAAATCTCGAATGTCTCCATTTTGGGTCTGCAAATGATACGTAGGTAACTACTACTAAAACATCTACGTGGTGCTCTTATTATACCTACCTATACAGGGTGTTTTTTGGGAGCTTTAGTTAAACGTTTCTGGGAAAGTAAAATAGGTAGGTTTTTGAAAATCTGTACTTAGGAGTTACTCTGAAGGCCGAATCGATGTAAAATATTTTCAAAATGGCCGCACTTCCGGAAACACCGGAAGTAGATAGTAACTTCGTTATTTTAAATGGCAACCCCCTATTTTTTATTACATTTTTGGATTCTACGTAAAATTCAGTTCTTTTGATACCCATATGTCGATATCTGCCATTTATGGTTTTTAAGTTATTTTGACTTTAAGAAAAAAAATGGCGGATGCAGATGGTACCTTGATAATTGATTACTTGAAAAAGGTTATATATAGTCATGGCAACCCATTATTATCAGTGCATAGAGAATGAATAGGGCTTTCACTTAGTGTACTTAAAAAAAGTTAAGTTGCGTACAACCGCACCTATGGAGATCCAAATTTAAGAAACTTCAAAGTCTATAAACTCAGTTTTTTTAAATGGAATGATCATGTTCTTAATATTGCATGAGATAGAGAATCGAAATTGGCATATTTTGATATTACATGTTCCTACAGCTATCTTTAACAGTTTCTGATTTATTCCCATTTCATTGAATTGAACTCGGAATTGATGCCATTTTTTTCGCATTTTCTTTTTAGTAGTTGGCCATGATTTTATAACAATCGAATTTTAAACAAATCAAGGAATGGATTCTTTAATACCATTGATTCTAGTTCTAGACTAAATAATTCATTAATAAATAACTCATTTATTAAGGATATAGGACGGAAAATTTTTGAAAAATCTAAACAGAGTCGTTCAACTGAATTTCTTAAACAACGTATAAGTCTGGAAATTAAGAGAGGTAATGCGATATCTGTTCTAGCAACAATTCCATACCAAAAATGTTTCAACGAAGTTTTTTATATTTTGCATTGAATTTATTTTGTTAATCTTGCATTTGCAATTCAATTCATTTTCTTAAATATTCTCTTGTAGAGCTTTGTATCACTTTGCTTCAACGGTTTGTAGTGCATTAGGGGTACAAAATTTCCAAAATTCATACAATTTCGTTCCAGTTTTCGAATGAATGTACGGAAAGCACGCGCCGCGATTCTGCCCATTTCACCATAAATAACAATTAAATTCCAAAAAAGGTGAAACCACTGCGAGTCATTTTTCGATTTTTGACAAACTATGTTAACCTAGAACAGTAGGTGACGGATTAGTGTCACTAGATTTGTTTAAAATTCAATTGTTATAGAATCATGGCCGACTACTAAAAAGAAAATCCGAAAAAAATAGTGTCAATTCAATAAAATGGGAATAAGTCAGAAACTGTTAAAGATAGCTATACGAACATGTATTGTCAAAATATGCCCATTTCGATTCTCTATTTCGTGGAATAGTAAGAACATGGTCATTCCATTAAAAAAAACTGAGTTTTTAGTCTTTGAAGTTTCATACATTTGGATATCCATAGGGGCGGTCGTACGCAACGTAACTTTTTTTTAAGTGCACTAAAAGAAAGCCCTATTCATTCTCTATGCACTGATAAAAATGGCTTGCCATGACTATATATAACCTTTTTCAAGTAATCAATTATCAAGGTACCATCTGCATCCGCCATTTTTTTTCTTAAAGTCAAAATAACTTAAAAACCATAAATGGTAGATATCGACATCTGGGTATCAAAAGAAGTGAAATTTCACGTAGAATCCAAAAATGCAATAAAAAATAGGGGTTGCCATTTAAAATAACGAAGTTACTATCTACTTCCGGTGTTTCCGGAAGTGCGGCCATTTTGAAAATATTTTACATCGATTCGGCCTTCAGAGTAACTCCTAAGTACAAATTTTCAAAAACCTACCTATTTTACTTTCCCAGAAACTTTTAACTAAAGCTCCCAAAAAAACACCCTGTATGGACTAAACAATAGTACCTAAAATGAATAAATTCCTGATGGTGTTTTCATTGTTCCATTTTTATAAAAAAAAAACCTTTATAAGGAAACATATGCAGATAATACTTGTGCAGTTCACACTATTTATCGTAACGTAATTTATTACGTTTACTTTACGATTAGTAGTAGTAGTACTATTTTTATGGGAATGTTTCCCCTTATGTGATAGTTTTGTCCGTCCGTCTGTTCCTAGTATAACTCGAGAACGAAAAGACACAGCGAGGTGAAACCTCCTCAAATCGATATCTACGAGTTCAAGGATCAGTGCTATTGAATATGAGCCGGATTAAAAGTCGTGTGTCCGAATGCGTTCTGATTTAGCTTCAAGCGGTGCACAAACTGTCTACTGCGCGGTGATTATATAATTTGCGGAGCAATCCTTATGAAATTCTGCTGGTAGGTTCAAAACTTCATATGCGAATATCTTAAGAATCGAGTGTAGGAAGTCGGTATTTACAAAGAGAAAGTGATAGGCCTCGTCAACGGCACCCCATTCGACCGGATCTGATTGCTAGCAACGGAGATATATTTTCGAGAACGAAGAGCCGTAAGAGAGTACTCACAAAATCTTGAAATTCGTGACGTGATTTTTATTGTTGCACAATTTGAAATGTTTTGACTGACTTTCTTTTGCTTTTGATATTTTTGGTATTTGTGTGTGCTATGCCAGGTTTTTTGTCCGGAAGAAGGTTTATCTGACATCGTCTGCTTGTGTGCGTAATATATTTTATATTTTCTCGTCTTTTCTTACGCACAAAAAACCGCCAGTTTTAACACTGACTGCTACCTAAATTCGAAAGTGTCACGAAACCTCCGTCGTTTTGACAAGAAAGTAAGAGTGGCTCTGCTCGTGAGTATGGGGTTAGTCAAGATTGCAGTCGCTTTTCGACTTCTGCTGCCAAGTACTGTAGGCGTTGTTATTACCAAAAACGCGTAGTGATTTTTTTTAAATTTTCTTTTACGTCCAAATAATACTGTCCACCTTGTGAGTAAAAGTTCGCGAGATAGACAACGCGTTCCAAATAGCTACCGAAACATTTTTTTAGTAATTGGTAAATAGAAGTTGTTGATGTAATGGGTATCCTACCCACAATGCAGCACTGTCTGTATGGTTGCCTACATACGTATTTTCTTCCATTGATTGCATGATACTATGTAAACATACTTAGTGATGAAGTCATAACATCGATGACGTGCGCGCAAACTAAGGAAAATCCTACTATACAACATAATTTGCCCCAGAAACTGTACCTACTTTTTGTTTACGAGATTACCAGAACCTTAATCGATTTCCGTTTTCTTTTATAATTCATTTCCCTTTACTGTAATAGTTCCATTAAGTGATTTCGTTTAAAATTACTTGCGCGAGCTGGAATGTTTAAAATAAATTGAGTTGGTGTCAATGCCATTCTTGTTACGTATTCTACTGATTTTCTTTTATTGTTTCAGATTAAAATTGGAATGCGAAAAATTAGCTAGTGAAAAGACTGAAATGCAAAGGCACTACGTTATGGTAAGTTCTCGCCTTTTATAAACGTTTCGCCGCCTATTCTGCTGTTTTTTTTCTAAATTTGAGTTAAGCATTATTGTGACGTTCCTAATCTTGGGCTTATTAAAGTAGAAATATAAAACCGCAAGCTGGAGAAGTAAATCCCATTAGGGCATAATACATCTTCTTTACAAACTAATGACTAAAACCATGCTCCAACGAAGCGTGGGTTCTATAGAAATGACAAATGAGAACGAAAAAGGAACACAAACACGATAAAAGTTTTATTTTATGGTCACGAAACAATTTTGTGCCGTTCGAATAATGCAATATAATAAGGTATCCAAATATCACATTAGTCTATCATTAACACGTGCCGGTTCACATTCAGTTGATTTTCACGCGTTGGGACCTCTCTCTATCATTATCTAAAAAGAAAGCGATTATTGGTGCATATTAAATCAATCGATAGCTGTTACCCGGACCACTTGTAAAAGTGATCAATTGCAGAACTTCTACACAAGTTATACCGAAGAGTTCAAATCAGCATGAGATTGGGAGATCGATAACGCTTATAAGATGAAAGTTAGCTCTACGAGGTGCTCGTAAATGATTTTATTCAGTTATCTTTGCTAGTAATTCTTTTTATACCATCGTAAAGTTTACAGTAACGTTTTCCGTGTTCTTTCAGTTTGTTGCGCTCCCGTATAATTTACTACTCGATATAATTTCTTCTTCAAATTAAAGTTTAATGTTATTGCATTAGGTTTTTTGCAAGTTTTGAGTGGCGACCACTTGGGAAAATAGAAGGAAGAGCATTAAAAGTTTAACTCCCAATGGCGTTTGTGGAGAGTTATAGAACCTTCCTGGTTATGTTTAGAAGCAAGCACTTATTGAAATATTTCGAATTATAAATGCTAGAGCGACGATCTCTTGAATGAAAAAAAGCCCGAGGGAAGTACCCTGAAAAATGTAAGAGTGTAGGTAAAGGAGAGGCTCCTGACAACCTTTCGTTGTTGAAGAATATGCATTATAAGGAGAAATGGACATGAAAATAGTCAATTCTTTCCAAATTTGATTTATGTGCGTTCAAAATTGTGAAGAGCAAGTGGTGCGACAGACAACACTACAACAGACACCTCACACCCTAACTGCACACGGCGTGCTAGATTTCATAAGTTTTCTAAATAGTGAATTTCTTCATTTTTGTTTATATCAATCATATGCATATTTTATGTTGTTGTACAGCAAATTGATTGCTCTTGTCAAAGATCTTAAAAAACGTAGGCCTTGCATTTGAAAAACAAAGTTGCATCGATTTCCGGATTAACTGGAAGTGATATCGGAAATTTAAATATGCCATCGGATAGATCGTCATGGCGCGTACAAAATTATGCTTGACCATTGAATCTCGCCAATTAAAAGATATATTGAAGTGATCCTCTTATCTTGACCACAATGTATACTGATAATATTATCTGATTTCCTTCCAGAAATTGCATTTTAAGGCATTCTTTATTTCAAAATCATCTAAAAAATTGGGTTTTTTGTTACTTCCAAGCAAGGGCGAAGTTCAGTGTAGCAGAAAAATCCGCTGCCTGTTCTTACACTTAACCCTAGAAATTATTCCGATAGTAAGTTATTGTAAAGATTTGCAATGCAAAGAAAAGGAACGTTTAAAAAATTGAGTGGCATGTGTTGGCGGTAGCCCCTTAAACCTTAAATTCAGATTATGGACATTACACACGTTGTCAATTGAATCTTCAATCTTGAATCTTACATCTTAAATCTTAAGTAAATTTAAAATAAAACTACGTGACAAAATTACGCGAAGAACTGTTCATTTTTTCCATATCTCATTTAATACTTAGTACTCCGATTTTTGTTTACGTAATATATAAAGAATGCAAAATATCATATGAAAATCTCATGGTTTTGGGGGGGGGGGGGGGCGATGTTTTTTTCAAACTCCTGCAATCGCGTATGTCTAGCCGAAAAGTCACAGCGCAAAGCAAAATCAAAGTCAAAACTCCCTTATTAATACGCCACTCATTAATGAAATAAATTCCACGTCGCGTATCGTTTAGAATTTAGAGATCGAAAAGAACAAACTTCTACGTTACACGATTAAATTGCTTATCGATTTTTATATGCAACTGTAATAATTCGATTGCGGACTATTCACTTTTAATTAATTCCACTTTCGTAACTACACGCGGAAAAAGTTACAAAGATACTACACAAGAGGGGTCTCTCCGGCTAGCCTCGCGCTCAGCTATTTATATCAAATTGAAAACGGAACCAACGAAACTGCGGAGTGAAGAATGCGACTGTAATTGGTAACTCTCAGATGAGAAATACGAACTGATATGTAATAAACTGTTCAGGCAACGATTCGCAGGTGCACGCAAGGAAAGTTTTTCAAATTTTCATGGGCGTATCAGTTACTATATAAGGTAAAATTGTCGCATGGGAAACGAAGAAAAATAATGAAAGGGAATCGAGATCTCGTTTCCTTCTTTGTCTCTAACCAAAGCAAAGCATTTCAATGAAAATAATAAGTAAGTACTCCAGATATTAACAATAAGAATGCTGCAGTATAGTCTAGTCAGTACTAATTGCCGTGAAAACCTAGATTATGAAATCCTCACCGTTAAGAATGGGTCTCGGAGACATAAGATTGTGTCGTGAGATTACTTAATGTACGCACTAAACATTTCAGCTTCGTTGTCAAATAGAGACTTTTCTTTCTCGTGCCATTTGAATTCCGACGTGCTATAAAGATTAATAGAGAATCCCATATTAAAAATGGATTAAGTACTTTGGATAATTGTATAAGAAATGTCCTACCACATCCCCAGCTAGGCGGGAGCTTTGTAAACAGCTATTTCACTTGTATCAAACGTGACAAGCACCTTGTCGAGCTAGTAATCGATATATGACCCCCTCATGCTTTGCGGATGCGATTCCAACCGTGTTCGTCCGCCGGAAAAATGTAGCTGCTTTTAGAGGATTTAGGTCTCGCGCATTGCGCGTTTAAACAGTTCTCTGCTTTCGAAAATCCATTTATATAATGCATGTTTTCCGCAGCTTGAAAGGCGATTATGAAACAAAATCGATTGTTATCATTCTAGAATTAATTTGAGATGGTAGTTTCTTCGGTTTTACCCTTTCGCCCAAATTAAATTCCATTTTATGGCTCGGATGAAAATAAGTTTACAAGAATAATTATCACTCTTCATTAAATAAGAGTTGCTAAATTTATAACTTGTCGGGTAACTCAAAGTTACTTCTTAAAGCCGTAATTAAGTAAATGTCAACTCATTTGGTTAATATACCGTGTCCATAAATTACGTTATGTAATAATTGATTAGGAGCTAATTTTTTTTTGCTAGAGGCGTTGATCGTTATACACACATTTAAACCGTAAATCCTTAGAAGTGCGTTAATGCAGAATGATTTGGGATTGATTAAAAGCATTAATGTTAAAGTGGTAACGTTTTAGAGATATATCAATATTCTGATCACGTTATCCTATTCAGTTATTAAATGGTTCTGAACGGTAAAAGTGTAGGATGCGTTATTGCCTATAATGAAATCGATCGTCGCCTATAGCTTTTTCATGGACACGATGATACCTAGCCAAAAAACTGCAAATAAAGCTGCCTTTTTCTACACGCCATTACCTTACCTCTCTTCTCTTTACATAAATATAATACGTCACTGAGGACGTTGTTATCGGGTGTTATACAGAAATGAATTAGCTACCTACTAAATAAAGATAGCTATCGTGGCATGCTCACGTAATAAAGTATGATCGATAATTCGTGTAAGGTAGTTCGGTTTATCTAGACATCATAAGCAACTAACAAACGCATCATCAAAATCGCAACCCAGTGGTGCGAAAAGCTTGTGTTTGCGCTTCATAATAATAGGGGAAGTTAGAAGGATAATTAACTCAAGCACTTGCAATTTTACTTTGTTGTCAAAGCTCTTCTGAATTAGTTCGGCTAGCATTTATGGCACGATTTTTACATTGATTCTGGATTGAAGTCTGGTTTGGAGACTAAAAAACCAATCTTCGTCACACAAGGAGAAGAAAGGGATTTTAAGAAAAAATGTGGTGTTAACTGTTAACTTAGTCCTTTGACCGTTGCTTTTGGTAAAATATTTTCTCAGTCTGTAAGTGGTATATACAGCGGATAGATTTTACAGTTGCCGAAATGCAAACATCGTGTTACAGACTTTAAAATATGGTAATTGTGATTTTGAATATTCTGAGAGATTCCTGAAATTTTCCACAAGCTTTAAAGATTTTAAGGGTTTCAAAGATACTGAAACGTCCAAAGTTGACGATTCTTCTTACAAAGAAACTTCTGAAAGTTCTCATACCTAACTTTAAGCAAATGTCTTACAGATTCTGAATGTAGGTACTTAATTTTTTGAGTGACGGATGCTTAAGAGCGTTCAGTCAAACACTTTATTTAGAAGAGCGCATCTTTTAAGTTTTCGTGAAGAACTATTATCTTTCAAGCTGGTTTTACATCAACAATAAATTGATCAATTTCTTGTTCAAGTCGTTTTGACAAGAAAAAAAGTGTAAGCACAGAATTGGATGCAATAACTTGATCATTTTCTTGCAAGCTCAATTTCTTGTCAGATTAGCGCAAGTTCTATTTTTCTGGCAATTTTTACGTCAATTCAGTAGTACCAACTACCATCAACCAACATAAATAATAATGAATAATAATAAAAAATCGATGTTTTCATCATTTTTATGAGCTATAGTTATAGCTAATATAGCGATCTTTCTTTTTCTATTCCGTAATCTTCTATTGAAAGAGGGAACATTTTTCCAGTTTTCCTTTTTTTTTAACCCATTAAAAGAATGGCAACCTAACCTTAAAATAATTAAAGTTTGATGCAACTGTAGAATGACTTGAAAACAACAAGAAATTGATCAAGTTAACAGTAGTTACCAAGTAACAGGAGCAAGAAATTGTTCAATAAATTAACAAATAACT